CAACGCGCATTTGTAAATGATTTTTCTCGTCTCGTTTAGCAGCGGCGTTTGAATTTGATTTGCTTTGGTTTCGCTTTATAGGCTGCGATTTCTTCGGTTTTTGGCGGGCTTCCGCTGCGCAGCGTCTGTAATGATGTTTTCTCTGTGAGCCACACGCGATACGTTGCTAGGTGTTGCACGTAAGTGACACAAGACACAATACACACTTGTCGATCGGAGTGATATGCACATGCGGACCACTGGCGGCTCGGAAGCACACAAACACATAACTTTCAATACACATACATACGCATATAAATATGTATGTGTTTAATTCACTTCTACTTTTAATTTATTACTCAAAAAAAAAAAAAAAAAAACAACTATCCAACAACACTTTACGTTTCAACACTCACAACTCAAAATAGACACACTACAGTGCGTATGAGTAACCTCACTATTCAAACTGCAGCCAGCCCACACAACAGGTTACGTATACGCAGCGTAATACATGCATAAAACGCTTCTTCATAGCAAAATATTTATGAAATGCTTGCGCGCACTTAAAATTTACAGCCAATTTACATTTAATGCATTTATTTGCAATTTTCCCCGAAAAATATATTTCGTCAATTAGCCGCAAGAGAAAAATAGAACGCTCAAAATTATTAAAGCATTTTTCGACAGCGTAGCTTGTCCGTTGAACGCGCGCGAACAAATGAACCGAAAATGTGAAATGCTGCGGCAACAATGTGCTCTTGCCAGCCAACATGTTTATTGTTATTGTCGTATGTTGCTCCACTTTGTTGTAGTTGTTGTTGTTGTTGTTACCTCTCTATTGCTTTGCGTCTGCGTCTGCGACTGAAGCTGGCCGAGCTAATGGTTACCAGAGTGGCTGTTGCTGTTGCTTCGTTACTTCAACAATGCCAAAACAAGTGTAGCAACGTATAATATGAGTGCACAACAACAAAAGCAAGAACAATTGTAGCAACAACAGAGATTTTGTAAGTAAGCATGCGTGTACTACACATGTCAACGTAACAAAGTGAATCAACTGTGTTTATGCGCATACATACAAACATGCACGCATATATGGTAGATGTGTATTGTGTATATACATATGTTTTTCCAGCAAAAAAGCGCAACATGCATAGTCTGGCAGCAACAAAAGTGCCTACTCGCACTCTAAATAACACATTTCATAGCCGATATTGACGGGCTGCTACACTTAACTCCACAACCCCTCTCCTCTCATTCGCCTATACACTTTTGCTTCGTTATTTTCTTTTCTTCTGCTTCCTTATTTCGCTTCCCAACTACACTACGATGAATACTCACTGGCCGTCCACACACACTTATTGTGCCGCTGCGCCTAGCAACTGACCTCTACAGCGCCGCCACATCAAGCCCGCCTGCCAAGGTAACTTCCTGTTGATTGCCACTCAAACACTTCAATGGCACGATTTCTGATTATTGCTTCGTCGAGTCCGAAAACTTCTTGGACACCGTTATGTTCGCCTGTTGTTGCTATAGCTGGCGTCTTTTGTTTGTTGTTGTTGTTTTTTCAGTGTCCACGCAGCATCCGTTTGCTTAACAAAGCTGCTGGGTGCGTGTCCTCCGCCACTCGTCGGCGACTGGCAGGTAGTGTTAGATTACCGTGTGTCTACACGGCAACCGTCTTCTGCTTGTGCCGAGCGCGAGTCGTTGGCTTATTCCACTGGCCTGCTGCCCCTCACACTTGCTGCAACGTGCTGATTTTTTAACCGACGGTTGTCGCTGATTCTAAGTTTTTTCCATGCTTGTGCCCCCTGCTACTTGTCGCCCGTCTGTTAATGCAGGCAATCAAGGACGCAAAACGCGCTCGCCTACATATAAACATAAGTGTGTGAGTGTGTGTGTGTGTCAGTTGGTTGGCGCTGTCTCAACGAAAGTGTTACAATATCACACTCGCTTAGTCCGCATCATTACTCACACAATACAAGCTTTGTGGTTGTTGTTGTTGCATCGACTCATTTACGCCGTTGTCACTCGCTGTTAGCTGGCAGCGCCGTGCGCGCGCTAGTAATCTGAGCCGTTACCTCAACTCAGCGGCGCTGAGTTGGGGTCCGTCTTGCCTACATTCCATCAATGTTGTTGTTGTGGTTGGGTTTTCTTCTTCGGCGCTTGTTGATGTTTTATATGTTTATTTGTGTATGTGTGTGTGCGTGTGTATGGACTGTAAATTTATGCGCATTTGCGGTGAAAAGTAAGTCGGCCGTGGACGGTGATGGATGCGCTGATTTATTCTTTCGATTTAGAAAATTATGTGCGTTTCTCATAATTTCCGTTATGTCTGCTTCTCTTGTGTTTTTGTTGTATTTCACGCTGCTGTTTAACGGCTAAAATATCCGTTTCACTTTTTACGTAGCGAAGAAAGAAGAATATTGAATTAATAAAGTAATTGAGCAAATTTAATTTACTGAAGTTGTGCTTCTCTTGCATCTCGCTGCTGTAGCTGAGCAGCTTTAATAAGTGAACAGCGGTCGGCGCGATTTAAGTTTAAGATTTAAAGCAAAAAATGTTTGTATAAAAACTGCTGGCGGTTATTTTAGCACAAGCTTGGATAACAACTTCAGAGTAGACTCAAAGTCATGACAAGCGGACTTGATTTTTATTCGTAAACTTTCATTTTTTTGAGCTCTCATTCTAGAATCCATTTCTACAGGGGTTAAATGAGTTTCCTCGGGTAAAAACAGCCTTTTTTCAACAATTTTTTTCTCAAATGAAAGGTTTTATTCGAATTTTTCATTGCTACAAACATACACTATTAACAAAGAAATTCTGAAATTTTTGAAAAAAAAAAAATATTTTATACTCGGCCATGCTACGCCATTTCCGTTGACCACTTGAAAAAACGATGCGCCCCAAGATAACTTCTTATACGTGTTTTAGTTAAAACCTTAACTTAAAACTTGGAAGAAAGAAAAAAACTGAAAATTGGATTTTTGACAGACATTTTTACAAAAAAGTTAAAATTGCTGTAAAAATTTCGCAGTAGTGGTTCTCGAGAAGCCTTGCCAACCGACTTCAAAAACAGTTTCGAGAAAAACGCGTTTAAAGACGGCGCACTTAGCCAAGCTAGCCTCGAGCACACAAGTTCGGAAGGTTGTATCTCTGAAACTATAATTCGAATCAAAGTTGAAAGTTTAGGACAATATTCTAGAGGTGTTCTTGTATTTAATAAGACAATAAAAAAATCGATTTTTTGAAAACCGTAAGCCCATTTAACCCCTCAAAAACTGGGCTCGTTCGGACAACCACGCCTATTTCATATACACAATTCTGATTCCTTCACTGTACATTATATGTAGTAAATCGATCGCCAATAAAGATATCGGCAGAATATTTTGCACACAAAGTGCGCTCAAAGTATGCTATTACATATCTAAGACCTGTCAAAATCAGTTCATAATTGGAAAATGGGCGTGGCACTTTTAGGTGAAATCACGTTTATCCGGACCTGTCCGACCGATTTCAATCAAATATAACGCATATATATATATAACAATATATAGCATTCTACTGATATTCTCATACATAGTGTCAAATCGGGCCACAACCACTTCTACATCCCTTTGAACACAGCTTTAAATTCTATTTTATTCTTTCACTTTCCAGTATACAAATCAAGTAGGACGAATAGTGCCTTTGAAATATTCCACCTTGTCCTAATCGAACCAAATTTGTTCAAGCCCCTAGATACGAACTATTTGAACTCCATTAGCTATAGTTGACTTTTTATCCAAAATATCGGTCAATGTATGAGTTATAATAATGAAATTCAGAGAGAATATTTTCCTGCTAATAGTATGCCTTTATGTCAAATATGGGTTTAGTAAGAGTATAAATTGTTCGGTTACGCCCGAACTTAACCCCTCTTTACTTGTTTCTACCATTTTCTTTATTATTTAGAAACATCATCCTAAATGTAGGCAATGCTTTTCATATCATTTAAAAAATCTTTAATTTGCTAGAAGAAAGAGTTTAAACTTGAAATCAGATTAAGCTGATTCAAAACTCATATGACAATATTAATACAAATAGGCTTAATAAGAATTAATTGGCAATTGCATTTTATCTTTTCTAAATTATTAATATAATTTAAATACATGTATAATTTCGAGAAAAGGCGTTCTTGGCGTATACAAAATCCAATGACATTGACATTTGAAGGCCAAACCGTAAGGGTCGCTAATAGTAATAATTTTTGCCTGCTAAAGGTATTGTAGACACCGGTACGAAGGGTGTGCCTCTTTTGACGTTGTCATGGCGAGCACGCAAAAATGGTTGCTGGTGAACAATTCAATGTCCTCTATTTGCTTGTGCGCCGTGTATTTTGGTGTATAACTTAGTAGGTTTCATCTACAAACAACAAAAAAATATAGCTTTTTGTTTTCATGCTCAATATCATAGCGGACAAGCAGTACAGCTAAGCTGAAACAAGTAAAGCCAAAGCGAAATTCATAAAAACCCAATTGCGTGGGAGATGGCGAACTAGAAGTGCAATTTTAGTAAATTACCAAGAGCTGTCGAATTGTGTTGAGTAGTGAAGTAGTAGAAAAAAATTTAATGTGGTGGATTTTAGATTTTGAAAAAAAAAATATGTTTCTCATAGTGATGTGTTCTATATATGCATTTGTGAAATATATATTAGAAAGGTTGTAGTCGCTCCGTGGAATCCATTTTCAGTCGATCGAAGAGAGAAAACAAAATATAGTATTTTTTGGATATTTTCTTCAATATTTATTGCATGAAAATAATTTTTAAAGCGTGTAAGTATTTCATATGTGGAAACATCCATATAAAATCACCTATAAGTATACTCGTACCTACATAATTTAAGCATATTTTTACAGATTGATTGCTTTGCTCATGCCATCACTTCGTCATCATCCTTCATTTTTTTTATCTTTGATTATTGAGTATTAATGTTTATTTGCGTTTTGTGTTTGTCATTTTTGGCGCTTTCAATTCCATCACAGACATGCCAGGAGCACAGCAGACGCTTATGTTAAGAGCCTTAAACGCATGCAACGTGCTCTGTGCGTGCCACAGACGAGTGTGGAAGGAGACACATATGTGTGCTGGCTGCCGTTCAACAAGTCGTATACGTAACATATTTGCTGTTGGCGTGAGAGCTTTACCAACGTTTTACACCAGTTGCTGCTTATTTCCTCTGTTTCGCAGCATAAAGTAGCGAATACTACTGCTACATTGTTGTTGTTATTATTTTTTCCTTCTTTTTTATATTTTCGCTGTGTTCTTATTCAGTCGCAGCCGAGAGTTTTGCATGCACGTCCTTCGCTGTAAGACCAGAAGATTTATTTTAATTTTCTGCGATTTTTTCTTCTCACATTTCGTATTTGTTTACGGTTTTTTTTCGTTTCTACTCTACTTTTCTTTCAGAGTTATCTTTACTTGAGCTGTATTTTCATTTCGTCATTAAATTAGTTGTATGTACCATATTAAATATTATAAATATGCAATTATCTGTGATATTCTTTAAAAGTATTTTGAATTTAAAGTCTTCAAGCAAAGTTGGTATGTTTCAATTCTTGGATTGCTGTAAATATGATGTTATCTTAAATCTGGAGTTTATCATGGATTTTATACTTTTGCTTCAGCACTCACACAGAGGTTTCCTAGGCCATTAGAAAAATTTTGTATTTTTTGGTGGATAAAAAACATTTTAAAAATTTGTATTAATTTTTTTTCTTTTCTTAATATTCGATCATACCTTTATTGAAAGGGTAATCACCATGAAAAGTATACATAACATTATTAAAATATCACAATGACATCATCATAATATTTTAATGCTGAAAGGAGTTAAATAGCATCAAGGTATGGCTCGTAGTAGTTTTTGAAAAAGAAAAAAATAATAAATATCTTTTTGTTTGGAAAAGAAGAAGCAATACAGAAAAAAATCAAAACATAAAAAAGGTAAAAAACTCAAAATTTTTAAAAATTAACAGCTGATGCAGTGTGGGATCTAAAAAAAAATTATCCAGTGACCATACCCACGATTTCAACTCTCCTAGCAATCAAAAAAAAAAAAAAAAAAAAAAAAAATTAATCTTAAATAATAATCTGGAACTGCGGAAAAGTTAGCAAAAATATTTTCACGAATTTTTGTACCACTTTTCTGACTGTTTCGATTTTCTTTTTAAATAGTAAACATTTGTGGTTATGAATAAGTCCACACATATACAAGTCTATAAAAAATACTCCAAAATTTTCAGATAAATCGGTCCAGTAAAACTTCAGAAATAGTAGGTATAGGTTTGAAGACAGTTTCGAGAAAAATGCGTTTAAAGTATCGCGTACCGGCGGACCAGTTTGAATGCCGGATCAGCAAGTATGTACATTGTGACAAAAAAGCACCCGGAATTTCTAATTAAATACCCCGTGTAAATGATATTTCAAAAAAATGTATTTTGCTAAGTTTATAAGACTTTCCTTAGTTACTACGCCAAATTTGAGGCGATTTGTCAACTAGATTCCTTACAGCAGCCACTTAATTTGGTACACTCCTGTAGCGAGTTCCGATTCTTACAATTGATAAGAATATCGAAGAAAGAATTCGTCTCAAATCAAAGGGTGATTCAATTTTATCAAAATCACAAGTCTAAGAATTGTACAAAGGCTTCAAAGACGGTCGAGAGATCGCAGAAGACATATCGCGTTCTGGACGATCCTCAATCTATTCAACTGATGAAAGAAAATAATAAAAAGGTGAAGGATATGGTGCTTGAAAATCACCAGGCAAGTGTTAGAGGTATGGCAAGAGAGTTCGATATCTCTCGCGAGTTCGTTCGAATGATCATATGGTGGATATTTTGGGTATGAAATGCGTTCTTGCTCGACTCGTCACGATAAAGCTGAATATTTTTCAAAAAGGGTACAATAAGCAGTTCTCTTTGGGAATAAAACGAGCCGAAACCAATAAAACCATGCCAAAGTAGCTCAAAAATTAAGATACATTTGATTTGGTACATAGTGAATTTGTTCCGGAGAGACAATCGGTCAGTAAGGAGTTCTATTTTACCGTATTGAGGCGTTTGTGTGAGAACATTCTCAACCACCGTATTCACCAGATTTGGTTTGGTGTGGTTTTATCCTATTCCCCAAACTGAAATTGCCGCGCAGATGAACCCGCTTTCAGTCGATAGCTGAAATAAAACAAAATTCGCTGAAGGAGCTGAAGGCCATCCCAAAAAGTACTTAGGAAAAGTCTTTTGAAGACTTGAAAATTTATTGGCACACGTGTACTACATCTGGTGGGGATTGCTTTGAAGGCGACAAAAAAAATATTGATGAATAATTAAACATTTTGCGTTTTATTTGCAATATCCGGATAGTTTTTTGTCATAATCACTCACAAGATATGCCATAAAGGCTCGATCTGAGCAATATGCTCGGAGAATGTGGCGTTGCTATGGAAAATAATCTATGCCAAGTACTGCCCATTTATAAGGGTTTCCGACGTTTCTTTCTGAGTATTTTAAACTGCGTGAGAAACCGCTCCGGACATGAGTAAAATTATTTGTCTGAGTCAGAAGGCATATGTTCTTTCAATTTTTGTCTGCCTAAGATACCTTAATATCACAATAAAGAGGCGACTGACCGCCAGCTCCATTTTTAGTATTAAAAAGTACAGTTAATGTAATTAATTAAAACAGTTTAAAATAATAATTTTTCATTGTAAATTGCCAAATTATACAGAATATAATTATCAAATGCAGGACACTTTGACAGCTGGTTTCAAAGTTTATAGTTAAAAAATCACTTTATTCATATATTTGTGTAGTTTATTCATGCATTAAGCTTTAGGCAATTCTAAAAATTAACTAGTGTAATCGCTTAAACAGCCATGAAAGGTTTCTTTTTCTTCTCATCGCTAATTTACTCTACGTGCTAAGGTTGCCTTCATCGCCAATTTATTGTAAGTCCTTGGCCTAAGGCTTATTGTATGTTTGTAAATAACACTAAAATGCTCTCTCAGTGATATATCAAATAGTTCATTTTGAAATTAATACTAAAATAGTAATTTTCATATTACTTAATGCCAAATGTGTTAAAATAGTTGTAAAATATCAATATGTATGTAACTAAAACACATTATACAAGTTTCTATCACACACATTGTCGCTAACTGCCAGCAATGAACTGTCGCTGTCATTTGAAACATTTTCTAATAATTTCTCATTTGAATTTCTCTCTTCACACAGGTCTTGACGCTCTAGTGAATGAATTCAAGTCGGGACGTGTCACCTTGCGTCGCAATCGCCGCAAAACGCGTACAAACGAAGCACTGCAGGAAATGTTTCAAGTCTTAGAGATAAGTCAGAAGCAGAATCGCAACTCGAAAATCTGCATCGATATGAAATTTTAAACGGCAGCCGAACCCGCCGCCCCTATATTTGTATTTGTAGTAGTATTAGTTACTGATTTTTCACCTATACACACGCATGCGTACACACAAGTGTATTTTTTTTATCAATTGACCATTTTGGAAAACCCACATTCTAGACATGCTAGGCTTAATGTATTTGTATGTGTGTGTGTCTAAATTTATATATATGCACTTTTTGATAAGCATTTTCATTTAGATCTTAAATGTACGAGTATTTGTGCCTTTCGCTCAGCTTTACAGCACTTTTATATACATATTTATAGGTACATATTTATGTGTACAACGAACAAAGAAGTCAACGAAAAATTTTAAACTCCATATTGTTTCCAGTCATTTTTGGCGGTTATTATTTTTTTCATATAGATATTATCTCGTTTACTTTTCTTTATAAAATTTTGTTTATTTTATTTTAATTATCACTCGTCTGTGACTAAATGTATACACTTTTTTGCTTTATGTAACGCTTAGCGCTTTCAACTATCTTTTTATAAAAAACATTCTTCTTCCTTAGGAAATTGTTTAAAAACTGTTGCAATTTTTTTGTTAAAAAGTTGGTAAATGCAAATTTTGTTTTGCAACTTTTTACAAAATTCTATTTCTAGTAATAAAATATTTTTTGTCAAAAAAAAATAAATAAACGCAGTCTAACCTCTTTAAGCGGCTTTTTGTGAGACAGCCGAAGAAAAGCAACATTTCTCTCCGAGAAATCACTGTAACAATTTCAGAAAATGTTGCTTCGAATAAACTGTTGGAGCTGTTAAGTTGTTAAGAAAAACCACTTTTATTTTTCAATTCACGTAGTTGTGTCCCTAAATGAATAATTATTATATTATTCAATGCTAAAAAACGAAAAAAAGTAAAAAAAATAATAGTTTAAATATATCAATGCATCGTTCTCTACTTTAACTTACAAATTTTAAAATCAAATCCTCTAACCTAACCTCAAAAGCGATGATTTATATTTGAGATTATATTTTCGTGTTCGCAATGGTCTCACATTTAGCCTTGTAAAAGTTATATTGTTTACTCGAACTTATTGCCATTAAAAGCATTTAATATCTCCTAAATAATTTCTTAAATCTTGCCTCAAATCTGCTTATACTTATAAATCTAATATTATCTTCATCTAACCTGTGTTCATATTTCAATCACTTAACTTTTGGCAGCGATAGTTTTTTGCATGCTTACTTAATTTTACATACTGACAGGCAGGATTTTATATTTTTTAAATTGTACACTTTATATATCTCAATTAACTTTAAATAAAATTTAAACAAATTTTGAACTACACAAATATGTTATTTTTATTTATTTACTTATTGAGGACACCGTAAGTACTAGCTATGAAGGGACTAGTGCGGTAAACTTTCCCGAACACATCTTATGGAGAATAAAATAAAATTGCCAATCCGCGCATTCGACCCATAAAAATCTCCCGGTATGGATCATTCCAGCAATGCTACAGAATGCGTTCTGTCCATCCGCGCCGTGGCTAAAGGCGATGTTTAGGGGATGCATGAGGCTATGGTAGTTGGAGCATTCAACTACATCTCTACGGAATCCATTCTGAATAGTGTCCAGTCAATGGGTATTAATCTGGCAGAAGCATTTTGATCTCTAGAAAGATAAGAGCAGAATGGAACAACGCTAGAATGACTCCGTAGAGGTATCCCCTTCTATGGACATTAGTGGTGAATAAACTGCTAAGGCGGCAAAGCCCTTAAGGTAGTGCCATATGCGGACGACATTGCCGTGTTAATAATGGGTAGGTGTCTACTGTTACACAAAAAGCACAGAATTCCTCTATGCTGATAGGAGGATGGTGTCATGTGTAGAAGTTCACGTAGGCGAGGAAAGTTCCCTGAAAGCCATTCACTTGGAAGCGGCTAGACACGATTCTTTTACATATGGCTCAATTACCTCACGACTTCCTGTCTTAGACAAAGTATCCTCTGGGTAGATGAGATGGCGAACCAATCCTTCCCATTGTTGCGCATTGTGTTTGGGACCCGCCACGTAAAAAACGCCCCTATGAAAATGAAACAGTAGCCTTGGAAGAAAAATCCTCCTTTTAATGACGACCACAGCAAACGTTATAAGGACTACGACTTATGGTACTTTGCAATTGGCCACGGCGAATATCGCATTCGATGGAACGATGAGCTGATACGATATTATATGTATAATAATTCATTTCGATAGGAAAGTAGACCATATTTTGCCAGCTCCTGTTTAGTACAGTGAACGATAGCTGAAGCAATATAGCCAAAAATGCAGAATAATCAGGGGTGTTGTGGAATCTGATAGTTGTCATGAATTCAGATATTATTGGTTTGATATTCGAAACAGAATTTGTATCGGTTTTGGGTGTCACAGAAACCAATTTTATCGGTTTTGCTCTCAGAAACAGATTGGATTGGACATTTCTAGAAATGTCTTAATTATTGAGTTTTGGACAAAAAATGCGGATGTTTAAGG